ATAATGTAAAATTAAAAGCAGTAATGATAATATATATGTGTAATGCTAACAATGTAGAATCATAGAATGGTTAGAGTTGGAAGGGGCCTCACAAAGATCATCTAGTTCCAATCCCCCTGCCATGGGCAGGGAAACCCTCCACTACACCAGGTTGCCCAAAGCCTCATCCAACCTGGCCTTGAACACTTCCAGGGATGGGGCATCTACAACTTCTCTGGGCAACCTGTTCCAGTGCCTCACCACCCTCTGAGTGAAAAATTTCTTCCTTACATATAAACAAGTGTGCAAAGTGTAGTTGCTCACCACCTAGTGACCAATGCCTGTCCCATCCTGGCAAATGATCCCGAAACAAGTAAGTCCTGGCACCACAATCCTGGATGAGCAAGAGGCCTGAAAAGAGAACGAGAGAGAGAGAGCACTCGGAGTCCAAGAGGGAGAGACCTTGGAAGAGCAAAAGCCTTTCTTTCTGGTCAGCCTTCATCTATATACTGGGCATGACACTGCATGATATGGAATACTCCATTGGCCAGTGTGGCCCTCTGTCCTGCGTCTAAGTTCAAATCACAAGGAGAGTTGTGGACCCCTTGTCCCAGCCATGTTGCCCGCTGGCCTGTTGTGCTCCTGCACACTGGCAAAAACACGGCAAGCTGAGAAGTCCATGATGTCTCACTACCAACTATAAACATCAGTGTGTGATCAGCATTCTTCTCATAGTGAATCCCAAACTAAATCTGAAACACAGAGTTCTTCTGGCTGCTAAAAAGAACAACTAACTCTGTCCCAGTCAAAACCAGGACAAAGGGCAATTGTCTTATGTCCAAGAGAATGGATTTTGTTATAGTGGCATACACTGACATGTGAGTGTGTGCCCTCATGTCTGTGATCAAGAGATTTTATTGTGAAATTTCAAGATTCTTATCAGCATTGACAATGAAAACAGCTTCAAGACATACAAGCTTCAACTAGAAGTTAAAGGACTGCAGTTTGTTTTATATCTACTTGTTCATCCTTGCAATAATGCAGCATAGTTATGATACAGTAAGGAAGGGAATGTTTTTGGTTTCTACTGGGTTTTCGATTTGAGCTGATCATCATCCCTGACGATTTCAGTTCCTGAATTTTGAAATTTACCAAGTTTTGTGAATGCTCAGAGGTTTGTGGCTTTCTGTCAAAAAGAACCAAAATCGTGAAGTTTGCATATTCCAAAAGATGGGTTATGTACAAAAAGCACGGGATACTGAGTTTTGTAATACATGTTGTAACAATACTGTCATCTTTAGTGTTTCAGCTAATACCTGAAATAGCTGAAACAGAGGAGAAGCGGGCAAGGGAAGGGTACCTCTCCAGGCCCACTAGCAAACCACGCTTGAATGTGGACTGAAGAGCGTTGAAGTAACGAGATATCAGACCATAGAGATCTCTCAAGTGTCTTGGTGCTTTTGCATAGGGTTTGTGTGTTTGGGTTTTTTTCCTCTATTTCTAATTTTTTAGAAATGCTATTCGTATTTCTAAATACGAACAGCAAACTGTGTAAGCAGGTCAGTGACGGGAGAGTAGGTAAATGCAGTGTGAGGTTTGGTGGAGAGAGGACTTCTAGAGGGTCTTTGAGGGTATCAAGTTGGTAGACTTATATCTAATATAAACTTCTCTTTGTTTCTGTAGAGCCCAATTTCGTTTTTGCTGATGTGATAAGAGCAGATCAAAACAGCACAGATGGAGAAGATGACAAGATTTACTTCTTTTTCACCGAGGTGTCTGTGGAGTATGAATTTGTCGGAAAACTGATGATTCCAAGAATAGCTAGAGTATGCAAGGTGGGACATAGTTCAACGTATTTTTACTAATTCATCTAGAATTTTTGGTGTGTGTTAAAAAGCAGTTATTATTGTGGACATATTGCCAGTTAAATGGAAGTGGTCAAACTGAGTCAATCTTAGTAATCAGCAGTTTCAATCAGTTCTTCAGAACTGAGAAAGCCTAATTGTTGCTTTGAGAGCAAATACTTGATTTAATTTTGCATGGTGGTGGAATTTCAGTACATCTGACCCCTGGGGTTAAAAAAACCAACTACCACAAAACCCTGCAACAGAGAAAGTGTCTCCCCTAGCTTTCCTTTTTATTTTTTTTTTTAAACAACTCCAAGTTTAAGTACAGCTCCCTGGGAAGGACTGTCTTTGGTTGGAGCTAAGTGGATAGGATGTTTGTCAAGCTACTTTCAAGCAGCTGTATACAAATGAAACTGTAGCTGTGTCCGCTACTGTATAGCTCTGGACTGTAGCGTAGCAGATGGGACTTCCATGAAGCTTTTTAAGCTGCCGGAGCCTGAAGGAAAATGGTCACCAGCAGCCTGATTCTGTCACGCTTGCTGTATTTAAACCTCAGTGTGTTAGGCTGATTCAAATACATACTCAGGAGTGTTGGTTAAAAATCTTGCAGATGAAAGAGGTTTGTTTTTTTTTTTTTTCCCAAGAGAAAATGTTGATTTAACGCAAACTTTTTTTCTGTGGAATGTATCAATTTCCTTAGGACTCTTTTTTCGAACAGGAAATTTAAGTAGCAGTTCCATTTTGATGATGAGGTTGAAATGTTTTATTTTGACTTTACTGTTTTATGTTTGAACACAGAAGTCAAAACATCAATAACAAGTTGGTGCCCTTGAGATTTCCATTAAACAAGCAGCTGGAGGCAGATTTATACGGGGCTTGTTATTATGGCCCTCTGCCCACTGACAGCTTGTGCGCACTTTAAAAAGGGACTGTCGTGGAATATGAGAGCTTTATTGCTGCTGTTTGTTTGAAGTAGGAATCAATGGCAGACTGCAAATCTGTAAGCATTTACACTTCATTGTTTTCATAAATTTCGCAGATTTCCTTTAATACTTTGCATAAAAGCATTGGATAATTACTGGAAAATATTAGTAATGTCAAAATATACTTGCTTTTTGATGAGAAGTAACGGAACTAAAGCTTCAGTATCAAATATTTTGAAACATTTCCAGTCGATACATCTTTCCATCTTTAAGCCTTGGTTCTGCAAATCCTTGATAAAGGTGATAACTGCTTGCAGGATTGAGCCATTGCTGCATTTCTTCTAATGAAATTTTTAATCTCAGGCAAGTTTAAGTGCATATTACAACATCAGAATTTAAATCACAGTTTAGATGTCTCAGAACAAATGCAACATTACTTATTTCTCTTAAGGGACAGTATAATAATTCTATGCTCATTTTAATTGTTCTAATAAGCAGTTTTTTTCTAAGGGTACATCACTTGTCTCAATTTTTCGAGTATTGCTGGAGTATGGTTCTTTTCTAAGTCTCATATATCATCTTACCTCTATGTGTTGATAAAAAATATTCTGCATTATTTTTATTGAATCAATTATTTTTCCTGTGCCTTCCTGACTTTTCTGTTTGTGAATGTGTTAACATTTTTTTATGTTGTTATAGGTGAAATGTTAGAAAATAACAGGGCTCAGAAATTTCATGCTGTATAGCAGTGGTTTTTACATGCAAAAATGCTGCTAATTCTCCTCACAAACACTTCTTTTTTTTTTTTAATATCAAAAGAGGGACCAAGGAGGATTAAGGACTTTGCAGAAAAAATGGACTTCCTTTCTCAAGGCCAGATTGATTTGTACCATCCCTGATAAGAATTTAATTTTCAATATTATCAATGATGTTTTTATTCTCAAGTCTCCGTCTTCAAAGGAACCAGTAATATATGGAGTCTTCACCCCACAACTGTAAGTGTGATATAGCCTTTTCCTGGATAAATCTGTACTTTTTGATCTTGATTGGTTTCTACAACAAGTAACAATTGCTCCTACGATTTTTAATTTCTTTTTTCCTGAACTTTTAGGAATAATGTGGGGTTGTCAGCGGTGTGTGCATACAATCTGTCTACTGTAGAGGAGGTTTTCTCGAGAGGAAAATATATGCAAAGTGCTACAGTAGAACAGTCTCATACAAAGTGGGTACGATACAATGGGGAAATTCCTAATCCTCGACCTGGTGCGGTAAGTTTCTGTAATCTTGAATCTGATGACTGGTCTTTTTTTAATGCTCAGGAGTAAAGAAACTAGAAAATACTGGATAACCTACTAAAGCCTAATTGTAGTTTGTTTTGATCTGGGTACTTTTTGTTGTGAAGACTTTGTAGAAAAACATTCAAGTGATTTATTCTGAGCCTTGTATCTGGGAATCAAAGTGAGGATTTTTAATTTATAATTGAGTTATTTGCTGGTTTTATATTTTCATTATTTTGTTACTAATTTTCTAGTGGTGAAGTAGATGTTAGTATACCTTAGTCAACATAAAATACTTTTTAGTTCAGATGAACAGAAGTATAGCAATTGTTGCATTGTCTCAGTAGGTTCAGCAAGTTTATTCAATGGAGTGCATTGCTTTGCAAAGCAAAATGTTCGTAGTATTGGGTCTCTTTCACACTTCTCTTTCTTATGTTCCCTGGAGTCATCTTGTTGCTACTGCTGAATGGGATGACAGTTAAAAGTAGTTAAGAAGCAGGAAAGTCCATAAAGAATATTTTCGGAATATGTATTTTGGGCCCAAACAAAAGACTAGCCCAAAGCTCAGGGATTAGTACATCACAGAAGCCAAAGTCCTACAAGACCCAAAGACCTTCCTTTAGGAAGAATGAGTATAATGTAAAAGTGTGCTTGCTGGCCAAAATAATACGGAGAAGAAAATGCATGTAGCTGCTGTTAATTGTCTCTAATTTGTACAAGTAAATTATATAATTTGGTTATCTCTTTTTTTGTTTGTTTGTTCCCCCCCCATCTCCCTCACTAGTGTATAAACAATGAAGCCAGAGCATCAAACTACATGAGTTCTCTAAATTTACCAGACAAAACGTTGCAGTTTGTTAAAGATCATCCTCTAATGGATGACTCAGTGACTCCATTGGGAGACAGACCTCGACTAGTAAAACGGGATGTGAAATATACCCAGATTGTAGTAGATAGAGTCAGAGCTCTCAATGGCACCATATATGATGTTATGTTCATCAGTACAGGTAAGTTCTGCAAAACACTTTTTTCTTTTAAGTGATGCATTGGCTCTTTAGGCTGAAGTGTGTTCTAAGAGAAACTCTTGAGATTCCATATTTACAGCACTTTTACACAGCTGGTGTTTTCATTAAAAGGTAGGGGGCTGTGGTGAGCAAGTGGAGAATCTTACATGCTTTGAAAAAGTATTGCAGGAAAAGAACTGCAAAACTGCGGTGAGTGCATCAAAAACACACATAAGATAGTCTCTGAGTGGTCATTCTTCGTCCCAAAATGTTATTTGTTGCTCAGAGTTCCTTATGATGGCAGGTTTAATGGTTGCTATTAGCACAGAGTTGTGTGAAGTCTTCAGCTGAACAGCAAGCAGGTTATTAAGACAACTTGGAGCAATTGTGCAATTTTTTCCTGCCTTTTTGTTTTAAAGGTGTTACTTAAATATATTGCTTTGTTTCAGATCGAGGAGCCCTGCACAAAGCCATCAGCTATGAAAATGGAATGCATATTATTGAAGAAACACAGCTTTTCCCAAACTTTGAGCCGGTCCAAACTCTCTTGCTTTCATCCAAAAAAGTAAGTGCTATAAGCATCACAGCATTCACCTCACTTTGCTCTTCCACAAGACTTGTTAGTAGCACCTTGTAACCTTGTCATGATGAAAGCAGACCGTCACTGTGCACGGAGCAAAAGGCTGCATCTCTTAACTCCTTGTGCTGCAGCAGTATCGGGTATTGCCTGCAGCATTTCAGTGTGTTTGGTAGGTGGCAAGCTTCTGAAGGTGTGTATGTATGGGGAAGATGGTGGTGGGAGGCACCAGTGTGCAGGTCTTCTCTTAGATTCCATGTGCAGAAGCTGAAAGCTGTGATGTCTTTTAAGGTTAGGAGTAATGTAAAAATTGTGACCCCTTGTGGCCACTGCAAATCCATGAGGAAAAATACTTAGGGCTTAGCAGAGGATATCTTTCTGAGGAAATAGACCTAAGAAAAGAGAAGAGTCTTCTCTAGCAGAGACACTCATAACTGTGTAACTAATTGGTTTCTGCTGTCCCAAATCTCACAGGCTTCTGCATGCCAGATGCATTGTGAGAGCAGTCACGTTGGTGTATCTACGGGTGAGGGCCTCTGATGAGGTCCTCTCTGCCCAACAGGGCACCAGCTGCAGCTCCAGCTGGGAAGCACAAGCCTTGCCGCAGGCTCAAAACCCAGCAGTCATTCTGCGCTACTAATAAGTCACTGGGCTTAGTCCTGGAGTAGTTTTGTGACAGTGGGAGAATAATTACTGTGTTTACTTTGTACACGAGTTAGGCTTCTGGCCCTAGCTGCTCAGACCTGCAGATCAGTGGATGTCTCTGAAATTACTACCCTAAGCAATGGCTTGTAGCATCAGACTGCTCAACTGGCAAAATTTGGGAGTTTCTTAAGGAAAGAATGACTCTTTTGAAATGTCTGGTAGTACTACTGGCATTCAGTAGCTACCTGGTGATTGATAACTGCTCTGCAGCTAGGATTTAGGAATACTGCCAAGATATCTAAGAAACAGCTTTTATTTTTGTGTGATATTTAATAAAACTTTGCTTGCCAACATGATCAACTCAATGGAAGAGAGCTTTATGCCATAATTCTTTCAAGCTCACCTTGGACACTTATTTATCCTTTCATGCTTATTATAGAAAAGTCTTGAGGACAGAGTATACTTTCGATAGACAAATAAAAAATCAGTGACTAAAAGCTTCTGTGCTCATAGATTTCAGTAAAGATGGTTTTATTACTTTTGTATGATGCTTCACACTGGCAACTTACTGTGTCTATGTGTGTGTCTGTGTATAAATATAATAGGTTAAAAAAATAAATGTTTGCTGGTTTCTTGTCCTTTATCTACAAGAAAGCTTTCAATACCTTGCTTTGACAAGTGGTTTCAGCATTTGCCCTGTGATAGAAGATAGTAATAGATAACTCTTCTAATAAATATGCTAATGCCCATTCTTCTAATTGTGAGTAAATTGTAGGATCATTCATGCACTGGCTTAATTATGATTCTCTCATTTCTGGCAAGTGAAAGGAAAGGGGTAGGCATTACAGCCTGGTAGCAAAGACACGCAATCCGGCAGTTTCAGTTCGCACTTGGTAGGCAAACTAGTGTAGAAATGATGGTACTAAATTTTTTTTCTCTGAATCCAGGTGCCTCATTCTCAGTTTCTCAAGAGTATCCTGAAAAGGGGGCAGTGTGAGACATGGCATAGGGGCTGCACAGGGAACTTGCTGCCTTTTCACAAAGAGACTTCTCTGAAAGCTTAGGATTGAAGCAAAACACTGCTTCCTGCATGACACTGTGGAGAGTAACAGCTTGTATCTTCTTCAAGGGAAAATTTCCATGTTGCTCAAGTAACTTTTGACGCGTAAACCTAACACCTAAAACTGGAGCAGCACTGCCCAGTACTTTCCCATAAAAGCAGCAGTCCTTTTCAGCAATGAGGAGTTGGAGGTTAAGTCAGGTGCCAGAGTCATGAAAGCTATATGATTGTGGTACCAGCCAAGCAGGGGATTACTTCTGCTCACCAGTGTGAGAACACAAGTTTCTACCTCCTTGGACATCACAGTAGCTATCAGTCACTTGCTACTGAAGTCCTTTGTAGAGCTGATATTGTGACATGTGTGGTGGTATCCCACAGTGATGGATTAACCATAAGAGGGAAGAGGGTAATAGTTGTTTCCCTGATGGTGGGCTTCAGACTCCTCTGGAGTCAGAGTCCTTTCTGAAGACATTATTGCAGTAGTCTTCAGGCCCTTCCCATATACCTTTATCTTGTGTGAAGGGTGGTGGGCAGAGTCAGATGAGCCTACAGTAGATCCTTGTAACTTGTACTTGACTGAAGGATGTGTCTGGATTTTTTTAAAATGGTCTGCTGAGCTCGCTGAACGTTCTCTGAACTCATGGATGTGCCAGCTGGGAACCATGCCGAGACATTACCAACGCATGTGCAGCGTTGCACTGTTGGCTTGGATGTTAGCTAGCAGAGCGCAAGAGAGATGAGCAGTGCTCAGTGCATCAGGGGAGCTTTCCAGCAGAGCGGGAAGCTTTTCCTAGGACGTCATACGTCTCCACTGCTACAGACTTCCTTCTGTGGGCACTCCAGCATAGCCCAACACTAACCTAAGTTAAATTTCAGGATGAAAGACTGCATTTGAATGTATGTCTCTGAAGTTTAATTTCTCTTTCGAAGTCCATCTTCTGGCAGTGCTAGGAGATTCTTCTCTGATCCAGTTTTGTCTTTTATCTTCAGTGCCAAGAAAAGCTGTCTGCACACTTCATATATGAGACAGATCCAAACTGAATTTTGTGCTTGGTCTTGTAGCTTCATCTAGAGGCTGCTGTTAGTCAGAACACATCATTCATTAGCTTGATTTTAAGACAGACTTCCTCATGATCACTGCATTAAAGAGAAGAACCTGTTCTGAGTCCTCATGGCAAAACCTCCTTACATCCTTAGTAAAAGAGTGACAGTGAGCCCCCAAACCTAAATTCAGCCCTAAGGTGCCCTATTAGTTGTTTTCTTGAGGCTATTTCTGATGTCAAGACCAAAAGTCTGCACCACAAACATAAGGTTTTTGAAGAATGTTTCTGTACTAGAAATCTTTCTTGTATGCCTGCCCATCGCTTTGTGACCTTCTTCATGCTGCTGGAGTCAAGCAGTCTCACTGCAGACATGACCCCTGAATACATTTCTACATAGTGAAATCCGTATGGTTGCAGTACAGGAAAAGCAGCTCTGTGCTTGGATCCAGCTCATTTGCCATGACAACTGCAGTAGGGTGCTGATAAATCCACTCGGTATTCTGCTCAGGATGAAGCCAGCCCACTGCCAAGGTGGGGTGTGCTGTTTGGCTTTGTATGCACAGCTTCTAAAAAGGACTAGAGGGTTGGTCACTGGTACCAGTTTTGGTTTGCAGCACAGGTCCCTTTCTTGAGGCTTTGCAGAATATTTTGTAAATTCACAGTGTACCTGTAGTCTTCGGTTTCCGTGAGCTTTGGAACAGATGAGTGAAATAACGCAGCTCTCCACCTTTTATGAGAAGGATGTTCAGGATGAGTGTGGTCTTTTCCTGCCATGCTTAGAGTGAGACTTGTTTGGGGTATCTCCAGCAACAGCAAGGCCAACAGCTGTTCTGTTCATGTCTCTGTTTTCCAACGTGTCATGTAGGTGCTGTTTCCTTTGCATACTATCCAGTGTTCCCCCTTGAGTAGCAAGTATGCAGCTGCATTTGACTCTTGTAAGGCTGGTGCTGATGTGGCTGCAGAGACCTGGTGGAAGAGCTGAGGGCAGTAGGGCTGCTTTGGGTTAACATGAGCAGGTCCTGCACACAGCATGCCTTGCCTCTCCAGGCTCTCGTGTTCCTGCTGCAGCCTTGTCATCAGCACAGGCTTGTCCTGCCTCATACAAGGATTGTCTGTGCGTTGGTGTTTGTGGAAAAACTGTGTGGTAAAGCCATGATTAGGCACGGTTACTTTCCGTTCTCATAAACTGTGTTTATTTCAGATTGTTGTTCTTTTGTCTTTTTGTACTTGAAGCGTCACTGAATATTTTCTAGAGAAGTTTCCTTTCCTTTCTAGAAATAAAAGCTACTCGAAATGCTTATTTCCCTCATGCTCCAGTTTTTACAAACATGGCTGTATGTATGCAACTCTTTACATTTATGTAGTTTTTAAATTGTTTCATGAATTGGATTATTCATCTTCGAGATAGTGATTGGCTGTGTTTTTTTGTTGTGCTTTGTATTTTTCAGGGAAGAAGATACCTTTATGCTGGTTCAAATTCTGGTGTGGTTCAGTCTCCGGTGGCATTCTGTGACAAGTACACCACTTGTGTTGACTGTGTTTTAGCAAGGGATCCTTACTGTGCTTGGAAACCCCTTGAAGCTTCCTGCATTGATATATTTAAAGAAAGTGAAATTGAAAGGTAATGGTAGCCTCTGATTACCTTACCGTTACAATCAGTATTGCATCAGTCCTGCCCCTTAGCGATAACTGGCATTTTTTTAACTGAATCTTTTCAAGTACAGATTTTTCCTATCCGTTTATGTCTGCTTGTCCTGTTTAGATAAGATGAATCTTACTTAGTACGAGAGGATGGGCAGGCTGTAGGAAAAAACATTTGAAGCTGTAATACTTGGACTTCCTTTTACAGGAACTGGATTCAGAACATAGGTGGAGATGCGTCTTCTTGCTCTGGTGAGTTAGTCCTTGAAGAGCTGTTTCACATGTCTAAGTGGAGTAGTGAAAGAGTTGTGTTTAGCTTGACTTTGTTTTTGTGATTATCTGGTTGTTGATTTATATTTTAATAGGTACGAGATTCTGCTTTTGAATACTTGAGCATCTGTACAGCCTGCATGTTGTCTTAAAATGTCTGTATTTGTATACATTTCAGTGTGCAGTGCACAAACCTCTGAAACGAACGGGGCACCTCAACAGCAACTTGTGAATGAAAGCAGTATTTGCCATAAGTACTTCTAGTGCAGAGGCCTCTGTCTCTGTGATGCAGCATTTGACATTCTACTGTGACCTTTGTTAAGTGCTTGGTTATTGCTGGATCAGATGAAATGATCCTGAAAAAAGCTGGGTTTATGGTGAGAGGGGAGGGGGACTCAGAACATGATACAGAGCAGCCGAAGTACCCTCCGTAGTGCTTTAAGGCAAGTAACCACAAGTCCTTGCTTTATAGTGCGTGCTGCTGCCACTGGGTCAAGGAGATCTTAAAGAGTAGTAGTGTTACAGGAGATGTACTGCCATAAACGAAGCTCTTTAGAGTTTGATTTACTCCTGTTTTCTTTCTAATCCAAGCAAAGCATGGACCGCCATGAGAGTTCTGCTTGTTAGTTTTTTTGTTAATTTGTGGTGTTGCACTGTGAATGTGCCCTAAGTACTATTTTTTTAAGAAGAAAGTTTCAGTAACAGCACTTTGTTCAATTTCTTCTTGGAATTTTGTAGCTGCTGATTTACTTAAGATGCACTAGTTGCATCTAAAATGATACCAAGTTCAGCATCTTGTCTCAAACAATGGCTCGTCTCAGATGCACGCTCAGTTGTGGATCAACAGGATCTCATCTTTATCTAGAAGGGGAGGCTGTCTTAGAGTTTGAGGTGTCCTCTCTCTTTGTCTTGATGTCTCACACGCAGCTGTAGCTTGGTATTTCACTGAGATTCTTGCATGCTGTCATCTTGGTCTTGTGAGGTAAACTGAATGCTGTAATCCTTACATTTCTGTTAAGTATAGCACGGTCTCGTGAAACTGTACAGATTAAAGCAAACGGGAATCATTGCTGATACTCTGCACGTTTATTTTGATGTTCCAGATAAAGTAAAAGAGAATTCCCTACAGCATACATTCAAGCATGGGAGCACAGCAGAGCTCAAGTGTTCTCAAAAGTCCAATCTGGCACAGGTAGTTTGGAAGTTCAAGGATGATGTGCTGAGAGTGGAGAGCCCCAAGTACCGTCTGCTGGAAAAGGCGCTGCTCATCTTCAATTTATCAGAAGGAGACAGCGGTGTTTACCAGTGTTTGTCAGAAGAAAAAGTGAAGAATAAGAAATTTTCTCAAGTGCTGGCTAAGCATGTTTTGGAACTGAAAAAGATCCAGCATGCCACGGTGGGCCCCACCATGGCAGCTGCACCAACAGAAGGTAATAGCGATGTGCCAAAAGTGTCAGCCGTATCAACCGAGGGGTCTACCACTCGCACCTCGACCACTCAGATGGTACCGGTAACGACAGCAAGGATAGTAACAAAGCCTGTTGGCCCTGTCCTAACAAGTGCAGCCTCCAACACGGAGCTCTTAAATTCAATTCCTGATGCGGTCCCGGAAAAGACAATGTTCCTCAAGTCAAATGATAACTTCCTGTTGATGTTCCTCTTCCTCTTCTTTTTTATTCTCTTCTTGTGCCTGCTCTCCTACAACTGTTACAAAGGGTACTTGCCAGGGCAGTGCTTGAAATTTCGCTCTGTCATGCTGCTTGGCAAGAAGAAAACGAAGTCGGATTTTTCTGATTGTGAGCAAAGCGTGAAGGAGACGCTGGTGGAACAAGGCAGTGTCAGCCACCAGAGTGGGGAGCAGCCGAAGCCAGCGCACGACACCGGCTACGAGACTGAACCCGACTGTGGGAATGGTCAGCTGCAGCCTGGGGATTCGCAGGCCTCCCGAGAGGCCAAGGACAAGCCCTTCGATGTCAAGTGTGAGCTCAAGTATGCCGACTCGGATGCAGAGGGAGACTGAAGGACTTGTTTGTCCGTTTCGGTGGTGGAAATCGGCTCTGGTCCTGCGGCTAGCTATTTGAGCATGGAGAGTGTGGATGTGACAACTGAGCCATAGTGGGGTTTACATGCTTAAGCTGTACAGCAAACCAATTTGCATTCAGATCTTGCCAGATTAGAGAAGCAGTGTTCCTGTCTGCAGACCATAGCATCTTGTGTTGTACTGTCTTTTTTTTTTTTCTTCCCAAATGGCCAGTTTCAGATCACCATTTTCATGTTCCAAATTTTTCCCCCACCGAGCGCTTCGCTCCGGTGAACAGTTACTTGCTTGTTCTTCAGCCCTGTTGCATAGGATAAAAGTAACTTTCTAATTCAGTTGGCTTTCAGAAGTACTTCAGTCTACACATATTTTTAGCTGCCATTAAAAAAGACCTAGTTTAATTTTAATTCCAAATTGGAAATTAAGTTTAGTTTATCAGATTGGTAAATTATAGACTATTGTCCATTGGGACATTTGTTTTTCTTTGCTTCTAGTGATTATTTTTAGGTTTATGCTTTGTGTTTTGGCACACTAGGTCTCTTTAGTTAAAGTTAATTTTTTTAACTGCTTTTTAAGTATCTTAGATTTTAAGGTATAATGGGGATAACGGCGGCTTGATTTGTGTAAGACTCTCAGGGATAATCTTGTTTAAAGGTTGTTTTCTTCGCTGCTTTCTAGAATCATAGATACAACAATATCAGTACAAAACATGGAGTAAGTGAGGGGAAGAAATAGTAGATTTAGAAATGCTTTCCTTTTTTTTGACTCGCTCCTCGCACCCCACCCCCAACCAGCAAGCCAGACATAGTCACATTCTATCTTCTATACAAAACTGTTTTTTTTTTTCCATTTTCTTTCTGTCTTTTTATTATTTTTTTTTTTGGGAATGAAACAGTACAGACAAGCAGCTGTCAGTTAGCAGTGGCATGAGAGAGGTTTTTTGCACTGAGGAGGCGAAACAGGAATTGAGAAGAATTAACTACCATAATTCAGCTAGTGACTCGCTGGAGTGGACTGTTAGGATACAGCCTGATGAGAAAACGTTGCCGATTTTTTTAATTTTTTTTTTTCCAGATTCAGAAATAACCCAGCTTCTTTTTGTGACAAATCTTTGCAGCGTCACCCTTTCTGGATGACACCTTCCAATCTCCAATGCAACTGGAGACTGAAACTGGAGCTGCTCAAACAATCAGTCATTGATGAACTCTCTATGTGAATCATGCCTGCAAACGTGAAAGTGTGCATTTGTTCTCAGCCTGGTTCACAACAGCACTGTTTGTCTGTAAAAGCATTTTGTGCGGTACAGTCCTGGAGAATTGTTCCTCTCACTGCATCTTTCTGTAAATATTGCTAGAAGTAGAGTACATTTTAACAGTAAAAAGCATTATGCCTGGGCTGCTTTTCTATGTTGAAATTCATGCGAACATAATTTAGACCATCTTAGTGTAAACAGTTTATATTTTATAAGATTCAGTTTGGTTTTATTTTTCTATTTTTAATTATGTACATATAACAGAATAAATATTAAAATAAATTGTATTACATCTTGACTTTTATGAAATGACACAATGACGCTGCTTTCCATATTGCAAGTGCTCGTGTTCCTTGTGGTTTCCTTAAAGGGGGAAAAGTGAAAACTGTTGTCATTAATTTGAAGCATATTCTTTTCTCAGCTTTATTTGCCCTGGGTTATAACCCATTCAGGCGTGGGTGGGGGTGGGTTGGAAGGACAGAGAAAGAAACATGGGTGAAGGAGGAAAGCTTTCTCTTCTCTAGGCACCTAGGGACACTTCCTCTTATTACGCTTCTAAAATTCATTTGTCTTTTTGCATTGTTTCTTCAGTGTGTGATGTATTTCTTACAACTTTATTCCTTAGTACCCTCTTTTTTTTTCTTTTCTGTCCTGTTCTGTCACACAGCCTCATCTCCTATACCTTTCCCTCCTACTGGTACCTCCTTTTTGTCCTGTGTGGGAAGTGATTCACCTCCTTCACCCACCAGTACCCAGCCTGATGTTTGGTCTAGCACAGACCCTGTAAAGGTCATGTTGTTGCCACCTTTCCTAAGTGACCAGGCACAGCATGTTAGTGTCCGGGGACCCTTTCACCTCTTCTGCCAAGCCACAGGTAAGTTGGAAGACACCTGTATAAACCAGCATTTTCTGCATTATAGGTTTAGATATGTCACCATGCACTGTATGTAGTTTTACTTTTTTGATGTCTTTAAAAAAAAAAAAAAAGAAGAAAAAGACCACCTCAGGATGTATTGTGAACATGCTGTTACCAGGAATCTGGCACTGCGAATACTGTGCTGTAAAATGCAGGCTCTGATTTAGCAGCCTCCTTCAGTATATTAATAGTCAATTGACTTAATAGGCTCACTTGCATGCTGAAGGAGTTCACTGAGTCATGATTGCATATGGATGTTTAGCAGGTAGGTATTTTCACTGTCAGTGTGTTATGTTTGTAATTTAAAAACTACAGTTCTATTGGATTTGAATTTAGTGTATTTTTCTGGATCAGGTCAGTTAATCCTTTTTAGTCTTAATTTATTTCAAGTGGTAAAGTACTGTCAGTAATGGCAACTTCCATTTTAATATATTCTTCATATCTGAAGTGTACATGAGAAGGACAAAGCTGTTTTTTCTATAGAAATTCAACATTTGTCTTTCAGCTGTTGTTTGGATAGTAGTTGCCTACTTAAGCTAAGTGAGATTTAATGGATCTAAACAGGTCTTAAAATATAACCATATTCCTTAAAGGAAGAGAGTATAGATACAGATTAATTTTGGAAAGTAGCATTGTTTCATGGTGGTCTGGCTGTGACTCAGTGTGTGTTAATGTTACATGGAATCAGATCAAAATGCATAACTCTTTATTAGAGTAGGTCTTAAAAAAAGGCATGATTTGTATTTCCGTGGTGAAAAAGAACAACAGCGGGATCAGAGTTCTTTCAGCAATAATTTGCTCACTGCTGCTATAGACAATTCAGAAACTTTTTGTTGTCCGCCATGAAAAAAGTTGTAAAAATGGCATAAGTAGCACAAAGGATTTAAACAGTTTGATAATTGTGCTACAGATTTGAAATATATGTTAAAATTACTTCCTTCATCCAGCAAAGTCTGTTTTAACATGATACTCATGTGCTGCTTTTTAAAAATTGTCAGTAATTGTAATTGCCTTGGCAGTGAACTTAAGCAAGAAGGAGCGGTGTCTGAAAGTCAGCCTGCGGGATTCAGCCATGAGAAGGTGGGGGTGAATGTTGGAAGAGTCTGTAAGAAGAATCAGACATCCAAGAGATGCAGTGATGGCACAGGCAGGGGCAAGATGAGCCAGCTTTGGAAGCATTTCTGACTCCTCTCTCAAAGCAGTGAAGGACTGGACTTTTGAGTTATGGATGGGGGTTTTACTTCCTTTGGGAAACGTGAGATTTGGCTGATACAACATACCCTTCTCTTACCCAGAACTACGTTATTCCATTGATTTAAAACAAACAAACAAACAAAAACAACACCAACCATCATGACGATAAGATGATGATAAGAGGGCTGGAGCACCTTTCCTATAAGGACAGGCTGAAAGAGTTGGGACTGTTCAGCCTGGAGAAGAGGAGGCTCCAGGGTGACCTTATAGCGGTCTTCCAGTACCTCAAGGGGGCCTACAAGAAAGATGGGGAGAGGCTGTTCAGGAGGGCCTGTTGTGATAGGACAAGGGGTAATAGTTTTAAAATAGAGGGAGGTAGATTCAGATTGGATATTAGGAAAAAATTTTTTACCATGAGAGTTGTAGAACACTGGAACAGGTTGCCCAGAGAGGTGGTGGATGCTCCATCCCTGGAGACATTCAAGGCCAGGTTGGACGAGGCCCTGAGCAACCTGATCTAGTTGGAGATATCCCTGTTCCTTGCAGGGGGGTTGGACTAGATGACCTTTGAAGGTCCCTTCCAGCCCTAACCATTCTACGATTCTATGATCAAACAAACACAGCAAATGCAAAACAGCATACTAAACTGATGTAGATCTTCGTCAGCCTCCTGGGGCCTGCATGCGAGGATGGGTAAATTTATCCTGGGTGGGGAGTGGCTAGGTAAATGCCTTTACTAGGAAGCTCTCTACTTGGATTTGTTCACATTCCTTTAGTGCCTGTTGATATTTCTTTATATAAACATAGATGTAATGGACTGTTGTTTCCCTTAGCTATGAATAAAGGGAAAAATGTGTTCACAAGGAGCAGAAGGGTAAAATGAGACTGGCACAGATAAACATTGTACTTGGTCTTCTGTGTGAAGCATATGGTATCAGCAAACGTGTGATGCATATGCACAGATTGCCACATAGTCCAGTCAAGAACCTGAAGCTTATTTTTAATCGAGTTTCTAACGTTATTTTTATGAGAATTACTTAATTTCTTCCTTTTCTTAATTGTAAATGCCTGCTCCAAGCTGTCTGGAAACTCGGCAGGAGTTGGTGAGTTCTCTTAGTCTCTTACTCATCCCGAATGTTTTAACCTGAAAGCTCATCTAAGGATAATACTTTACAACCTTGTAACTGGCTCATTTCAACCACCTTAAGGTGAAGTGGATACACCACAGACTATGCAACTACTTGTTGCATATTGTTACTTTTTTCTGGAAGATGAGTTTTTTCAAGAATGGAGTACTCCTGGCCTTCCTGAAAAGGAAGAACTACATCTCCCTTCACAAATTGCCTTCCAGTTTCCTCCCTCTACTGCCCTGAAGAGTCTCGCGTCTTCACATTTCTCCAAAGACCTGCCTGCTAGATATGCAATGGCAAACATTAGATTTCCTATATAATTTCTGTAATAGAACTTTTCTCCCATTACAGAGTTTTAAAACCCTTTAAAGACATTTGAGGCAGGCTTCAAATAAATTGAACAAAATACTACACCATCTGGTGTAGGGGAGAGGCAGTGAGTTGATAATGTGTGCACCTACACCTGTAATTTCTCTGGTGTGGAATTTAG